AGCGCTAATATGGCCACAAGCAGGAGTGCCTGTGTCCACAGCGTGACCTTCTCTCTCTCTGCAACATACACAGGAGCACAATTCCAGTGACAGCATGCTGTTGAACAGTGGGAAGGTAACTTGTGACACACAGAAAAAACAGCAAAAGCATTACAAAGAGCTGAAGAATAATGAACAGCATAGGGCAAGTGTGACCCATGCATATATCATGATTCAGGTGACAGGCTCTAATTGAATTGGTCTGGACTGCATCTAAAACCCCAACTCCCTCTACAGGCCCAGCCTCACTGGCAGCCCTAGTGCTTTGCAAGTGTTTTTAAATGGGCTGTTCTGAGGGAGCTCCCACCAGCTGTCCGTCATTGTGCAAATATATTGCTGCTCTGCTGTGTGTCCCGAAGCCCAGACAGTCCCCCTGCAGTGGGGTGTTCTCTGAGGAACCCTAAGAATGACCTGCCCTTGACACACTAGTGACTTATTGTTCACAAACTTACTTCCTGGGCTCCGCCTTTAAAGGAACACCACAAAGTGTATCTGCTCACACAGATCTGCGTCATGTATACTTCAAGTCTGAAGCATTTCTTTTTTTGTAAATTGCTGCCGCCTGTTGACATCCTGTCACGCGAGCAAACCGAACAGAGAGGAACAAGAAGGAAACCGAACCGCAGTACCGAGCAGCTTTCTTATCTCGGTCTGGATCTCCGCGCGTGTCCAAACACATCAAATCAGCCGCACAAACCGGCGCATCCGCGAGTCCACAATCGCACGGCGCACAACTGGGGTATCGAGCAGAAAAAAGGGCACCTGGCTTGTTTTCTGCGGGACAGATGGCTTGGCCTTCATCAGGGCTGTGGAGGATGGGTCCTTCGTGTTCCTCCATGCTCCTGTCCTCGCTCTCTCTCCCTCCCCTGCGGTTTCTCGGAGTCCCTCTTTTCTCCTCAACGGTTCCTTCGGTTACTCTGCCTGCCGCGTCTTCACTCCCTGGGTCTGTTTTCGTGCTCTGGGCGGTTCAGTGATCACACACCCTGACCCCCACACATACACACACTTCCCCTCCCCCCACCCCCACCCCTTTCTCTCGGGGTAAAGTCACATCACTGCTTTAAACACCCGCTGACCCACCTCAGGAAGTAGCAGCAGCAAACAGCTCAGTTTCTGACACCAAACTCTACTGCTGGGCTAAAGAAAGGCTGCAAATCAAAATGTATCAGCTGTTTTGTAGGCTGGTGCAACCAGGTTTTTGCATGAATTCTTTTCTTGGGGGGTCCAAAGCAAAGCTTGGAATTCTGTGCCGAAGGGGCAGGAAGACTCTATCCAGTGGATCCTTTCTAGCAGAAGCGAGGTGTGCTCGTGTACAACTGTCACTCTCAGTACAGCAAAGCCAAACCCACTTTCTCAATGTGTGCACACAGCAGCCTTCAGTCCAGGAGTCTCTTACCCTGGTTCTGAGCTAATGTAAGATCTTATTCCTTTGCCCCAGTCTTCCTGATCCCCCTAAATCATCTGCTTTGAAACATTTTGAGTATGTCTTGTCATTTAAGAAATGTATTTGATTATGCAAATTCTCCTTATGCCTGAAAGATTCTGAAGAGGTATGAGTGGGGGCAGAAGAGGGGCTCACCCTGTGATCTGTGTGGCTCCTAATGTCCCAGTACAGCGATGGGGACACTATACTGTAAAAAGACGCCGTCCTTCAGACGAGACGTAAAACCGAGGTCCTGACTCTCTGTGGTCATTAAACACCTCAGGGCGTTTTTTGAAAAGGGTCAGGCTGTTATCCTGCCCAAATTTCCCTCTGGCCTTTACCAATCATGGCCTCCTAATAATCTTCATCTCTGAACCAGC